ATTTGAACCTTGACAATTTGATCTTGAAAGGCGCAGAAGGAGCAAGGGACTATGGGAAGCTGCCTTGCTTGTGCCCACATAAGAGATCAGATCAGCTGCCCAAAGAAGACCCCAAGGGCCAGGCTTGGATAGTAAAACTTCTGTCTCTTTAGGCAGCTAGTGGATCTTTGGATACTATCCCCTAGGTCCCCCTCTGGAACCTCTCTGGGTCAATCAATGAATTTACAATAATTTTACCTGTGTTCTGTATGGCCTATGTGTCTTCACTAAATTTTTCATTGACCAAGGACCCAGTGAGGAACTGCTTCCTTGCTACATGAGTATCTGGCTTCTGGTGACCATGGTGTCCAAAACCCACAGGGGGTGGCGCAAAAACCACATTGTAAATGAGATTATAATTCAGTACAACTGAGTTGGGATCACTTTCATTGGTTTAGGATATTCTAAAGCACATGCAGCCTGAGATATGGCTTAATCATTTGGAGGTGGGTGCTTTTTGTGGTTGACAGAGGATTTTTCTTGGTTCCCCGGAAGCCTATAGCACATGTGCCTGGTGTTTTCCCCGGCTAAGGTCTTGAGGTGGGAACTGGACACTCTGTTATTTTTGAGAGCACTTTCTTTTTCCCTCCTGGCCTTCAGGTCCTCTCCTTCCAGATATTTCTGCTCTCCAAATTAATTGGGTTACTTTCAAGCTGGGTTCTGGGGACAGCAGACTCTGGAAGTGAGGGTGGTGTCACCCCACCCTTTTCCCTTCCCCTCCCCAGGGGCCAGGGCATAGGAAGTACAGACACGGAGACTTGGTTGAAGGTGTTTATTTAGTAGAAAATGGGGTTCCACGGGGTGGCTGGAATTGGGGGTGATCGGTGTAGAACAGTGCACTGTAAGTTGAGTCTTCCAGCTCTCCCACTGGCGTTGTGGCTGCTGGGGCAGCCAGGTGGCACCTTGGTGACAGGAAGAACAGGGGTCTCTTCAGATCGGAGGCACCTGAGAAGGGACAGCACAGTAAGGATGACCGAGGGTCAGGTCTGGGGGAAGGGAGGAGCAAAGGCAGCCCCGAGACCCCCAGCCTGCCCCTTCCTGATCTCCCATCAGCCCCTGCCCAGCCAGACTTACTTCCTGTTCAGGAATCGATGCACTCATCTGTGGAAGATATGAGGGAGAAAGAACATCAGAGCAGGCACAGGTGTGTGTGTGTGGTCTATAGTTGCCAGGACCCATGGCACTGCCCGTGGCTGTAGTGGGCCCGGCCTGGCCAAGATGCTGGGTCTCTGGGGGTTTCCTGAATTCAAGGTCTGGGAATGAGATCCCTTGGGTGCCTGGGCCTCACAGGGGCTCTGAACCAAGGCCTCCAGCCAGTTTACCTGCAGAGAGTCCTGTCAGCCTCCCAGGCAGTGATCCTGAGTGAACTTACTGAAATCCCCTGCCCAGGCCCGGCCACTGGAAACAATGGACATCTCCTATGTCAGGAATGAGCAAGAGGCTGGGGAAGGGAAAGGTGGGCAGGACAGCAAGGCACAATGTGTGATGAGGGGGTAATCCAGGATAGAAGACTCAAGGTACAAATGGGACCCAAGGAACTGAGTTACGGGGAAGAGGTTGCTCAGGCAGTGATGATGGGGGAAATCCGGAGCTGGGCCTGACACTGTAATCTGGGCAGCCCTTGGCTAAACTGTCAGAGAGTGTATTTGAGGCCAGGCTCCCTGGGGACCCACAGACCCCAGATTTTCACCACGAACTTCCCAGTGATGGGAGTAGGGGCCTGAGTCTCTCCTGTCCCCTTTCCCCGGTGAGGCATCATCAGACCTGGAGAATCCCACATGCCCTTCCTCTCTCCCAGGCGGCCATTACCGTTGGGGGCAGTAAACAGGATGTTGTCATCAGTGAAGCCCAGATACTTTGCAAAGTGGACAAAGTAATTCTTCAGTTCAGGGCTCAGCTCCTTGGTTCTCCCTGTAGCCAAGATTGCCAGTGAGTGACCCAGAAAGAAAGATACTTTCTGAAAGTATTTTGAGACAGGGTCTTGCTATGCAGTTTGGGCTGGCCTTAAACTCACAAACCTCCTGCCTCAGGCTCCCAAATTCTAGGATGGCAGGTGTGCACTGCAAAACCAGTCTCACTCCATAAATACTGTTGAAGGAGGCCCTAGAACCCTTTCCTAAGGAGGGTCTAGGGAATGGCCTCTTTCCCGAGGGTCCTCAAACTGGACAAGACGTGGGACCTTGGGAAAATGGTTCCCTCCCCAAAGAGCAGAGGGAGAAAGGGCTCACCGTAGAGGGTGATCTTGAAGTACACTGTGTTTCTGAATATCTTCTCAAAGAACACGATGGCTACCTCATCGTAGTTGGTGTTGACCACTCTCATGGTGTAGCTCTGCGTTCCAACGTAAACTGTAATGGGGACAGTGAGGGTCATCCCTGCCCTAGTCGGTAGGAAGACGCTGTCCCCTTCCACCTTGATCGTCAGTAGGGCCTTCTCCCGGTAGAACAGCATGTGTGTGGAGTAGCAGGGAGGCCTATGCCCTCCTGGGAGGAATCTGCTTCGAAATCCTAACCTTAGGGCCCCCATCCCACTTAGGACTTACGAGTAATATTGCCCAGGGTGAACTGGCCAGGATGGACACTGGGGACAACAGTTCTGATCCAGTAGTCGCAAAACTTGCCCCTGCTTTGTAGCTCTCTGGGAGACAGAAATGATACAGGCTAAGCAAGGAGATGACATAGACTTAAATGGACCCCCTGCTACAACGGTTCATCGAAGCCCCCACCCCCGCCAGGCCATGAAAGCCTTGTCCCTCACCTCCCCCTCGCCATGGTCCTGGTCCTTCCACGCTCAGCCTCTACATGGCCACTCCACCCTCTATCCAGCACTCACTGTCTCCTCTGTTACCTCCCTGTGTCAAGCTGTCCCACACACAGACCCCAGGGACTGACCCCTGCTCTTGTCTCGTGGCTTCTCTTTCCCATCTCTCCTGACATTTTTTCTGAGCTTTGTCTGTCCTATGTTGAGCTCTGACCTAGTGCTTGAGCCACACCTGACCTCTCCCTTGAATGTAAGCCATTCCTGCACCCCAGAGCCAAGCCCCCAAGCCCCATTCCTTGTGACCCTCCATCTTCATAGGCTCTCACTCCAAACCACCCGGTGGACAGGGACAGAACCCGGGGCACGTGGGTGGGCTGGGCTTCCCTCTCCAGCTTCTCATCTGTGCTACCTCTGTCTTTTCCTGCCTTGGACTGCCCAGCCTTACATCCCTGTTCCTTCTCAGCTCCCCGGCTATGGCTGTGCCCAGATCCTAGCCCTTGCGGGAGCCCCAGGCCAGCACCTTTTCATTTTTATTTTGGGACAAGGTCTTTCCAAGTTGCCCATGCTACCTTCAAATTTGTAGCCCTCTTACTTCAGTTTCCTGGACTAACCTGAATATATCACAGGCTCTTTAAGTTCGCTTCCATACAAGTCCTACTGGTGGTCTTGGTGGGATCCCTGGTGGATCCCGTATCCCCCTGACCCTGAGACATTGAGCTCTCTGCCCTGTTTCTACTGGCTGTGTTTGTCCCATGAATGCTGATGGTGGGGAGTGAGGAAGATTGATTTGCAGCCGAGTGGTGAGAGGAATGACTACACTTCTCAGCATTGGTCACCCCTTGGCTGTGACAGATAGGCTTCTGAGACCCCCCCAACCCCGAGCTAGTTGCTTTACCTGAGCAGTGTGGTGGTTACGTTGTAGCTGTGATCATCTTTCAGCTCATAGGTGACACTGTACATTTTAAGCTGTCTTTGGCTTCCATTCTGAATTGTGTTCTCCGCCACACCTATAACATACCACTTCCCCTGGAACTGTAAGAGGGTGATGACAGGCAGAGCCCAGTGGTGGCCCCAGAGCCCCCCTCCCATGCTGTCCCTGCTGGGCCCTCTGGGCAGCAGCCTAGGGATGGGGTTGCCCTGAGAAACTAGCAGGAGCTGGGTCCCCGGGAGAGGAGTCAGCCCTGAGTTGTTGGGGATGCAGTGGCCCTGGGCAAGTAGCTGATGGGTCTTCTTGAGCCTCAGTTTTCTCTTCTGCGCAGAAGGACTAAAAATGTCCCCCACCCGGCATGCGCTGGGCCTGGACTCCCTGAGTCCTGCTCCTACCACTGAACACTGCCTCTGAGCTCCATTGCCTTTCTTCCCCCCTGCTCCCCTGATCCATCACCCAGGTACTCCTTGCGAGTGCTCTGCCAGAGCCTTTACCTTGTCTTCCTGAAAGTCAGCCTGCAAGGGGACCATGCTCAGAGATGGCCTTGAAGAGGAGTCCTGGGCCTGGGTCTGCAGGGCCCCCAGCAGGATGAGTCCCAGCCACAGGAGGTGCAGAGCCATGGCCTCCGAGCAGATACTGGGCCGGGAACGTGCGGAAGGAGGAAGATGATTACTGAGCTGCCCACAAGGGGAACTATTTATAGGCCACCTGGCTGCCGCCTGCTCTATGGTGGCCTATCCATCCTTTGCTAAATCCAGGTGGGTGAGTCAATTGCCAAAAACGCCTCAGAATCACGTGGCAGGATACTTGCCTCTTTCCCCTCTGGATAGGATTGTGCAAGGTCAAAAGAGGGAAAGGTGACAGGTGACGTGAAGAACATTCCCAGAGCTCCAGAATGAGCTCTGAATGCTCGCTGCCCCTCTTCTGTGCATCTTACCTCCCTGGCTGTTGGTCAGCAGCTTGGGTTCCGAGAAGCTGTCACCTCTGTGGGACCCACTGAAACCAGGAGGCTGGTATGTGGGGTGAGGTCCGCTCCCTGCTCCCACAAAAGACAAAAAGTATGTCAGACGTGGGGCTGTACACGTCTAATCTCAGCCTTTAGGAGGCTGAGACAGGAGGACTGCCACAAGTTCAAGGCCAGCCTGGGTTATGTAGTGAGTTCAAAGCCAGTGTGAACTACAGTGACCCTGTCTGAATAAATAGGAAAATATAATAATAATAACAACAACAATAATAATAATAATAGGAAAACCCCAAAAGAAACAAAGTGAAGGGTGTTCCCCCGCAACAGGCCCCGTTTTTCTGACAGTGGACAAGGAAGAAAAGTTCTGTGTGTTGAGCCTAGATTCTGGCCTTCACAAGAGCCCCAGGGCAGCCATGGCACACGGTGACCTGCCTTCTGCCTCCCTCTTCCCCTATGCTTCTAGCACATTCATAGAACCAGGCAGGACAGTAGGACCCTCAGGAATGTGTCTCTTCCTGTGAGTCCGGCAGGCGGAGATTCAGAGCGCATTACATGGGACACAGATGTGGGTCCTTGAGAGCATTACAGGCTGAGGCTGCAGCTCGCCGTGGATCCTGGCAGGGGTCCAGGTGGGCTGCACTCTGCTGCTATGTGCACCAGGGGCTTCGGGTCATGTGGTGCAGGGTTTGGCCTTGTCCTTGAGAGGTCATTCGGGACCTCTGTTGCTGTCCGCATGCACGGGCCGTGGAGCCAGTACTTCAAGCCTGGGATCTAAGCACACAACTTGAGACTGCTGCTCTCAGACTTATCGCAAGCCGAGGCTGTTTCCTCAGTGAGGGCCTGGCCAGCATCCTGGGGAAGCGGTGATGGACCTTAGGCCCTGGGCAGTGTCCCCTTGCAATGGCTTAACCATGTGGACAGTGAATGTCCTAGGCGCCTGTCCTGAGGCTGAACTGAGGTTTTGTTGGTTTTATGTGAGATGAAAAGGCCCCCACTGGTTCTACCTACCTGCTGCTTGGGTACCAGCCAGGAGTCTGGTGTGGTGGGCCTGAGCTAAGGAGCTTTAGTGGGGGTCCTGGGCTGGTGGGTAGACTTCCACCCCAGCCCCATAAACCAAGTGCCTTGCACTGCACTCTCCACTTGGATCGGGTGATAAAAAGTCAGGAAGTGAAGCTGGGCAAAGTGGTCTCCAACGTCACCCTCGCCATCTTGCTCAGTGGTCCCAGCCCTGGTGGCTCCATCTCCACTACTTGAAAGGTAGTTGAAAAGTCTCAGCATCGTGTCCTGGGTGCACACGCCTGTGACCACCGAGCGTTAGGAGACTGAGGCAGGAGTATCGCAAGTTACAGTCCAGCCCGGACTGTTTAGCAAGACCCTGTCTCAAAATTAAAAAAATAAAAGTAGCCCTCTTCCTCTCTTCAGATAAAAGATACACATCCAGTGTTATGTGCTTCTGGACAAAATGCTTAAGACTTCTTGTTGTGCAGTTCATTTTTGATTTATATGATGTGTGAAATTAACTTAAAAGGAATTTTCATGATTTGGATTAATATTTATGTGTCTTCTTTAAAGCTTCATTTATTGCAAAAACATAGAATAATGGGTGAGTATTTTAAGCCTCAAAGGATATTTCCATATTTCCTGTAAAGAAAATAGTTTTTATCTTTCATAAACTGTAGAGCAATATCTTTCCTTTCCATATTAATTTATATATATAAATATATATATTATATATATATTATAATGTCAGGACTCCTGTAATGTCAAGACTGAAGGTATTAAAATGTACATGTAAGGCACATCATCACAGACTCCTTTTGAAAGAGGCTTGGGTTTGTCTCACTGGCTCTACACCACTAAGAGTGAGAGATGTTATCCTAGATTTATGCATCCAGTTTTGGTTCTTTTGTCTTTGGGAGATCAACAGTATGCAAGAAGCAACGCAAAACAGCAAGCCTTATTCTTATAAGGAAGACATTCAACGTATGCTTAAGGTTGGGAACAAATTTGGTGTATGTAAGTGACAAAAGTAGAACTTCAAAGGTGTGTAGGTTATAACATAGGCACTTAGTGCTCCACTAAGAGTTTTTTTGGAAAATATTCATTCATCTGGGGGAAAAGTACTGGGATTTAAAAAGTAGGTTTTTTTACTTTAAAAAGGTGAAATTATTCTATAATATAGGGGAAGTTCCTTTGAGAAGAATTGTTGTTTGATACATTGATACAAATTTTTGCAGTTTATACCTTTGGCAGGGACAAAGGGTGAGAGATTAGTTGGAGTGAATGTCCAGTTTAACCTCCAAGAATGCCAGGAGGAACTGCTTTCTACCCAAGACCCCTCAGGGTGAGAGAGTCTCAATAAAAAACAGCCCAGAGCTGAAACTTCTGTGGCTTTTCATTGATAGGTCCAGGAAGCAAGAATAAAGGACAGAGAAGAACATCTCTGCAGAAATTCATGGAGGGGACATGGAATGGACAGAGAAAGGGCAAGGGAGGGACAGAGAGGTCTGTTACATGACTGACTTTAGAACTCATCAAAGTAATGAATTGGAGTGTGGGGAGGACTAGGCCAGAGCATACATTCCTTAAGGCAATGTGTTTTGATCCTACTTGGACTGGTGGCCCTAAGGGCTATATATTAATCTTTAATCATACATTCTGGGAGATTTTGGGCTGTGGCCTCAGAAAGTTCCTTATTTTTCCATATCCGTTTCACCCATACTTCTGGCGAATGTTCCCATATATCCCTCTGCTTTGTTTTATAAATGGGTTTGGGAAAGAGGGATAGTGTGAGTGGAGGAGGGATACGGGACTTGGTGGTCATCAAGGCTTCCATATGTAGCGGCCTCTGAAAGAGTGCACAGAAGATTCTTAGGACTGTAAGAAAGAGCAAAAAGAAAACTATTTCATTATCAAAAGGAATCTAATTGTGAAGCCTGAGACCAGAGAACTATCTTTTGGAATTCAGCCAAGAGATAATATCAGTGAGTTGATCAAAAGTAATATGACAAGCTTCCAGCAGAAGTTTACGTAACTGGGCCGATAGTGATCCTTGGAGAGTGGAAATTTCCCCACGGAGATCAGCATGAAAAGTATCACAGAGCGTACACTGGACTTTGCCCCAGGACTTAGAAAAGATAGAATGGAATTGGAGTGACGCTCGTGGAATGGTAACCAGCATCACAGCTGCGCCTACTGGGTGTCCCAAGAGCTTGTCAGTGTTTGCTGAGCCATCCTACCATGACTTTGAGAGCACGAAGTCTTTGTAACATTTCTTTATCAATACTGACTGGAGTTAAAGGCTTAGCAGTGCTATTCTGAAAATAGTCATTCCTAGTCTGGGCAGTCATTCCTAGTCGGGGCAATAGGTGCTGTGACTGCAGCTGCCACTCCGGTCACTGCTCTAATGGCCCCAAACCACTTTTGTCTGAGATGTTTAAGGTTGCAGTAATGTGTTTGAAAGCAGAGTCTCTCACCCAATGACATGTAAGATTGTTGGAGAGCTAGGCTTTAGCCCTTAGGCTAAGCACCATACTGTGAGCACTATTTAATTGAGATATATTATTATTAGTGACACAGGGAGTGAGCCATGTGGAGTATGCTGGGCAGGGAATATTGAGAACCTTAAAAGTCAGTAGCAAGTAGTGGATGAACTGTAAATAGCGAAAATAGGTTCCTCCTCAGTGAGGGCCAAAATATATGGGTGGGAAGTATAGATCACGACATGATCAGAGGTATAGGAATCCATGTGAGTTTATCTATATGTTGATAGCTGCCAGTTCTGACAATGGGACTGGTAACCATGTGACCTGTAATATAAGACAGCAACCGTCACGTGGTCACATGGTTACCATTAACAGGGAAATGGTGAGTATCTGACAAGAAGCATAGTAAGGTTACAGAAATCCCAGGACTGTGGGAAGGTGGGCTGCCACTGTAACTGACTTTGTATCTTTTTCTTTTCTTTTTGGTGCCGGGAATCAAACTCAGGACTTCACGCTTGCCAGGCAGGCACTGTGCCACTGAGCTATATCCCCTGCCCCCTGCCAGTGTAATTGAAAGGCAAAATATAATTCCAGGTAGAATTCGATTCTAGTACCATCGAATGATAAGATCCACAATTTTCTAGAGTTATAGTGTAAGCAAGATGAATAATGGAGAGATCGGTGCACTGACATGATGTCTACCCCAAATCTAGGTCATCTTCTATAGGCACCATGAATGAGAACATGCAGGAATATTGGGTTTTGGGAAGTGCCTCCCAGATACAGAGGACTCTAGGAGTCCAGCAGTGTTGATAAAGATCTGATGGCAAGCCCTGTCAGTTCGGATGGGCCCAATGAAATATGATTCACATACCACTGGGGATGGAAGGGAGCACCATAAGAGCTATTAGTGACACTGGAGACCAAACAGAGGGGGAATTCTTCAGCCAGAGAGTACCAATCAGGAGGTAGTAAATGCCAGCCACTAGAACATCCAGAGTGGATAGAATCACTACCACAATTCCTTCAAGGGCCAGGAGGGGGCAGCCAGGCCCTGCCGTCTAGGAGGCACTGTTGGAAAAAAGAGGAGGCTCAGCGTCTTCCCAGGTGACTATATAAAAACCAGGAGGTATAAAGATATGTGCCCAGTATACCAAGCCACTTACTTTTTGTGTACAGCTAGAAAGAAGCAGAATAAAAAGGAATCCTTTTACTGTTGCTGTCTTATGTTATAGGTGACTTGGTTACCATTGCCAGGAAGAACTTCTCTGGGGTGGAAAGGATGTGATTTTTTGCAGCATTTGTTTAGCCTCTGTGATGAGCTGTTTAATCTTTCCCCAGAGAGGACCCAAGGATTGTGCTGTAGAAGGTAATGGATCCATTCTCCTCTTCTGTTGCCCCTTCTTAGTAGAAATGTAGAGCCACTGCCTGCAGCTTGGGGACGGGGTTGCTTCTCAGTTGGTGCCACATGATATGGATAACAGCCCTGATGAGAACCCAGAGAGGGCCTGTGGGTGATGTAACAGAAGGATACTCCCTCCCCCAAGTGAGCAGTTCCACGGGGTGCAGCTATTCAGGGCCAGATAT